GGTGACCATACGATTACGACAGAAAATTTGGACAATTGTTTAATCTATGGTTTTACGGAGTATGCACTTAAAATATTTTATTGATTATGTATGATATAAGAATCAAAGAACTGTAAATATATTTTTTTAGTTCTAGAAATGTTTTCGCATAGTTTTTTACTGGTGGTAGAACCTCTTGTGAGTCCGCGCGGGTGGGTACCACCACTCTGTCTATTTCTGCCCTGAAGCAGTAATGCGTTTCGGTTTGAAGGGTTGCGGCAGCCGTTGTAACTATACTGAGACCTTAGAACTCTGGTCTCAAGGTGGGTGGCGCATTTATGTTGTAGATGTCTATGGGCTCCAGTAACCACTTAACACCGGGTGGGCTGTGAGCTCGTCCACCCATCTAAGCAATAAAAAAAAAAGTTGCTCTATAGTTTGAGCTTTACGCTTCTATGAGAAAATGAATCATCCGGCGGGCTCTGATGGAATGTGACTATGCCGCAGTTCAAAGTCTGCGACATGTATCAAATTTTACCTCAATTGGTACTTAGTGCTTCGACCTCATGCCATGGTGGTAGAATTCAAATTATGACCACATAACATCAGTTAACTGAGTTCGTCTACATATACGCCAAGTAAAGTATATAGATCTATTTTGTGTGCTTCTTCAATTCAGAAATAGAGGTATACGTATATATTTACAAAACAATGTAATTACATATTTTTATAATTAGTTTAAAAACAAAGAACATAATATCCATCCTACACAGCGTGTAAAACTGAATAAGTTCCCGTTGCCGCCCGCGTCCCTCGAAAACAAAACAAAATCAAACTTCAAAAGTTCGTTGACCTCATAAGCCACCAAGGCGATACTTTTAAGTGTTTTGTTACACACTTTCTCTACTATATTTTCGAACGAATTCATAAAGTTCGACATCTGGCAAATTGCCGTGATTTACAGACACGCACTAACAGTACCTGAACACGATTTAGGTCAAAAAGATCCATTAAAACCCTGCTAAATTAAAACAAATCTTCAATCAGATAAGGTTTTGTGGAAAAGCATTTAACTTTTCAATTAACAATGCGTTCACAGGTACTATTGAGTAGTAAATTATTTATGTTTTTAAACAATTGAATATTGGGGCTGTCTGTTGACTGGCTGCTAACCAATAATTACGAGCATTGTCATTACATATGTTGCACTTTTAAAAAGCTGAAGATAAATAAATCAATTTGTCACATATACAACGATGTATTTGAGGTTATTTTTTATCTAAAACTATCACTGACTGTCAACGGCAGTCAATAGTTTTATAGGTGACTAGCCGTACTCGCCCGCTTCGCTGGGCATTTAAAATTAACATTATTATTTATTGTCATTGTGAGTCCAACACTCATATAAATATTAGCTTATCCATTAAGTACATGTATTTTTTACATCGATACCAAATTTCAAGTCAATCGGATGCATGGTTCAGTAGTTATAACGGAACATCCGTAAAAACCACTGTAAATTTATATATTAGTATAGATAGACGAACATCTAGTGATTATCAAGCCGATATTGTTCTTTTCCATTCGTTGCTCACCACCAATACCGCTTTTCGGGATTAAGTCCTCAAAACGACGTGAGGTGAGCGGATTCTAATTTGCTTTTTGCTAGCCTACTGAGTTTCTCGCTGGATCTTCTCAGTGGATCGCGTTTCCGATCCGGTGGTAGATTCTGCGAAACACGGCTCTTGCTAGGGTTCGTGTTAGCAACGTTGTCAGGTTTGAGCCCCGTGAGCTCACCTACTAGTTAAGGTTACGCTGATATGGTCTCTCTAGAGACTCTAGAGTCTAGACCATCAGCGTGGGTAAAATAAAGAAATGAATTAAACCTTTTTAAGCGAAGGAAGAAATCAACTAGAATATAATTATAGTATAATATTGTAATATATAATATATACTAGGAATCCCTAAAGACAGGTTCGAATTTAATTCACATTTATTCTGATCATAAAATCACTTTTACGATCTAAACTAAACTATTGCCTATTTAACATTTCGTAGTACCCACAGTCACAGTACTTATTTATAAAATCATTCTAACTATCAATGTCTTAATATTGAATACATGTAACAAATAAAATGGTACAATCTGGTGCGTCTATACTTAAAAAAAACATTGAGAGAGGTAATAGACCATAAACGAATTGTTTATCAAATTGTTTCCTCTCTGTCTGTTTGTTCGCACGCATCTTTCAAATAATCGGATGTACCAAAAATGTAGAGTCAATCAAAGATTTTTAGAATTTACTGTTACAATTCTAGACGTTAGAAGTTGCATAACAAATAATTTTAATTTATACCAAAGTAACTCAGTTTCTCTGTAATGTTTTCATACCAAAATCACAGCCGATTATGACGAAGATTCGATTGAAAAAAGTTTGAATCCAGGGAAGCAATTTAAGATCTATAGTGAGCACCGGTCTCCGCCAAACCGTGATCTACGCAGGCGAAACCGCGGCCGCAAGACTAGTCGTATATAACCTATTAATGTTAAAGCAACATTGTCTCAAGGAAACCATTACTTTATAATGTAGAACAAGAGGTTCAATGAATCATATACAATGTATAAACTGTATACAATACGTTAAACATTGTTTAGTGTTCTGGAATAGATTTAGAATCGATATAGAAATGTGTTTTGCAACATCATTTCGTGGGTTAACTGAGGATTTTAGAAGCTCTAAGCTAGAAATCCGACGTGAAATGCTCGCGTACGAAGAATTAACTTTGTCCGGAAGTGGATACTGAATTTTAAATGTGAACGGTATTTTAGGAATACATATTTTTAACTATCAAAGAACAAATATTTTTAGGACAGAATAAGAGAATAATATAATATTAAGAAACAAATTCGAGTATTGATTGGAATGAATAAATAATTTTAATTTAACTCACTTTTAAATTTGGCTAGGTTATAATTAATTTATCTTAATGAAAATATAATTTGTCGTAATAAAATATCCATTATCGGAACAACGATCTTGTTCTGTAGTTTTTCTTAAATGTACCTATTGAATGAAGTACATTTTAAATTCTGATAAATTTTCAGACTTGTTCTTTAATTATTTGTACATTAAAACGGGAATGTCTGTCATACCTTCTATGAGTTTCAAAACTTTTTTTTTCCTGCCTTATCTAATGGTCTAGAGTACTCTAGAGAGACCATATCAGCGTAACCTTAACTAGTAAGTGAGCTCACGGGGCTCAAACCTGACGACGTTGCTAATACGAACTCAAGCAAGAGCCGTGCTTCGCAAAATCTACCATCGGATCGGAAACGCGACCCACTGAGAAGATCCGACGAGAAACTCAGTGGGCAAGTTTCAAACATTTGAACTCTTCACGCTACAAAAATACACAAGGTACCTAATACCTGTAAATACTCTTTCATCAGGGTAGTAAAATCAATGATACTTATGAAATAAAATTAAGGAGATTGATGAATTAGGAAGTTGTAGATTTGATGCCTATAATATAACGTTATTCCCTAATGTCTTTTTGTGGAAGTCATTTGTGATCACGGTGAAGCGCATATGTATTTTAGACCCGACGTACTAACCTCTAGGTCACGACAATTTCGAAAAGATCCAATATGTCAGAACGAGTACCTCTGTCTGGCATCGTAGAGCCAGTTCTGATCGCAATGATAGAGCAAACTACCGCAGCGAAATACATTAACTCAAGTGCTTAATCAATGCTTATTTGAAATTCTAATTAGAAACTTCTAGTTTGGTGAAACGTATTAAGAAAATGGAGAAACAATGCGTATTTGACGGGTTGTACTGAGTAACATTTTCAATTTAGAATTCAGATCATAAATCAAAAATCGAATAATTTCAGACTTTACAAGAGACTTGCAATCGCTCATTACTTACGTTTGGCAAGTATATTTTGTTATAAAAACGAAAACTGTTTTTGAGAAACATTTTGTTTTTGCATACACATGAAAAATCATAAACTGCATAATATAAATGTTTTCCTGCACTAGCATAAATTAAATTGAACACGAATAATGAAATGCAGAAGCATGTGTGCGTTATTAAATATTTCATTTCGACAGTGCAATACAGAAAGGTCATTCCGAGTCACTCTCTAATTATCTTTTCACGACACACTTGCGCTCCATGAGGCATACAATATAATAACGTTTAAATATTGAAGGCGACTAACCACGTTTAACGTTCCAAAATTTAGCGTCAGAATAAAATATAATTATAATATTCTTTCAAAGCGAAACTAATGGAATAAAATAATTTTTAAATAAGCATAGTGACGTCCGGATTCTTATCGATAAAACGTAGGTGTGTTTTATGCGAACTTTTCGCGTATTTTAAGTAAATAAAACAGCTATTCGCGTATAGCAGTTGTCATAAAACTACAAAGATATCAAAAGAATGTTTACCAGTTTTCATTTTAAACGATTCACTTCGAAATTTTAAATGCATATAACATACTGAATGCTCAGCTATTCTGTCGCCATTTTACGTTTTCAATCGACAAACGACATTATTTTGATCAATAAATATAGGTACACTATTTCGCACGGGTGCCGTCAGCTGCTCTCGGAAACGTATTGGACGGCCAATATTCGCCTTCCCCTTGGTCGAATCCAAACGCTGGTTCGTGTCATGGAAATGTGCAGTGACAGCGCCCCTGACACCTGCTTGGGCCTCACCAAAATAAACATGTCCAACAATGACAAGAACGTCTGCAATAAAATATATTCTACGCTTCTCGCTTCCGCTGTCTCTTATTCAGAGAGAGGATACCGTGATTCAGAGAAACTGAATGCAGCCGGTATTTTACATTTAGATCCCGGCTGCTTGTCACGTGTTAGATATGTTTTTGTGGTAAAAATACCAGCGACAACGCCAGTCACGATCAAGGCCAGTCAGTGCCTACTGGAGTGCGAATTATTCTTGAATGTCTTTTATTTAGGGAGAATATCGAACACTGTGACTCACTGGGATAGTTCGGGTCCTTGTAGTGGTTGTGGTGATGGTCTCGACAGACTCCACCACCTCTTCTTCCCCATCTTCTTCCTGCGGTCCCTGGTTCCATGATCCGAAGAATTCCGTCATGTTTACCAATAGACCCTAATACACTAGAAGCACAGAAATCGGGACCACTTTTGAGACACATTCACTGAAATTTTCACGTTTGAGGCACCTCTTCGATATCACGGTTTTTTTTTAATTCGATTTATATGTCGTAATTTGGCACTGAAGTCATTGCGTTGAAGTGCACAATGGTCACTTGATTTTGCGAATAGCAAATATTTGCCTGTAGCGAACCCGCCGCTGCACTGCTGAGACGGCTAGAGTTGATCTTGTATAAAATCCTACTGGAAAACTGAAATAACCACCGCGAACAAAAAGCACCAGCCAAAACATTTCACGTGCGAAGTATTATTAGTTGGACGATCTAGCCGAAAGAGTTAAGTGTCGCGGCGACCTTTACATTGTGAATAATTCTCGATTTATAATATTTTTTTTATTGCATAGTTGGGTGGACGAGCTCATAGTCCACCTGGTGTTAAGTGATTACTGGAGCCCATAGACATCTACAACGTAAATGCGCCACCCACCTTGATATATTAGTTCTAAGGTCTCAGTATAGTTACAACGGCTGCCCCACCCTTCAAACCGAAACGCATTACTGCTTCACGGCAGAAATAAGCGGGGTGGTGGTACCTACCTTTGCGGGCTCACAAGAGCTCCTACCACCATTAAAATTCTTTTCTTTTTCAAGCTTTATATTTCCCTTTACCTACCTATTCTTATTGATATATTGTTCTTGTCCTATGTAAATGTTTCATATTAAGAAAAAGGTTACATATTTTGAGAATGTTTTTTAGCAAGGTTGATTTCTATTTATTTATAATCTTGCTATTATTACTCTCAAGATTCCTCCTATATTAAATTGAAACTGGCGTGACCTCGGATTTCTGTGTATTTCAAATTTAATTTTAACACATTAATAGGCAACTGCGTGGTAAATTTATTTTATTTTAGAGTGCAATACAGTTTTCTATAGAATGTGCTTCGTTAAAAACGTTCCTTTTATGATTGAGGTAATGAAAATAAATACTCAGCAGGCGGTTTTGAATAAAAATAAAAATTACATTCATTCTAGGCTGGAACGTCAATGGCACGGGCTCACGGCTGGCTGGCCTATAGACATAATGACCAGAAACTTGGGGATCAACTCCTCGTTCATCAATTGCGACCATTGCTACGTGCTCGTCAGGGTTTCCAGATTCATATCGTCTTATTATTATATGTGCTAGTGTTACATCAAACTTTTGATAAATTAATTGTTTAAATCATGTTGCATTGAACCATCCAATTGCGGCGTCAGCGTAGGCGCTGACAGCTCCTCCACTTAATATAAATACGCGGTTCTACTAACAGCCCGCGATAAATCCGTACCATGTTCCCTGGATTGACGCTCGATACGCTATTTTAACTGCTTTTCGATAGAGTCGTTTATCGAGTGTCGGTACAACACTATGCTCCGGTGGATCGTAACGCATAACCAACAATGTATTTATTCGCTACGAATTCATTTCGTGTTTCGCACCAATACAATGTTTCGATCGCAACATTTCAAAGAATTATAGGTCAGGTGCGTTTAAAAAAAAAAATTCGTATAGTGTAATATTTAATCGGATTTGTGAGCGGAAAAACAGTTGGTGTCTTCGAAACATGATATAATTAAGATAAAAGATAATTGTATTGTGAGATACAGTGCCAAGAAATATTACGAACTGTTGGAATAACTCCGAAATATGCGCAATGGTAATTTTGACGAAGACATAGTTAAATTGGCTCCACCGTTTAGACGGTCAATTTTTGTGTAAACAAAAACAAAGGAATGATCCGGGAACAATGCTTGTGTGTCGCGAGAGTGGCCTTGAAACATTTTTTTCTCCCTTGATGACGATTTGTAGAAAACGGTATTATTTTTTGGTGTTTCATTTGCATGTAGATCTGATGAAAGAATTCAAAGAAATATTTATCTAATATCACTGTTCCACACGCATTTAATTCGTAATTTAGAAAAATGAAATAGTATTGCAATGCCCCGGGGTAAAGAGTTGCCTATATCACTCTTTAAAATCACGAATGGGGTATATATTGCTATTTTTAATATACCAGACATACATATTTTGTCGTTGGTCAAGTAAAGATAAAAACAATCTTATGTTTTTTTTTATTGCTTAGATGGGTGGACAAGCTCACAGCCCTGGTGTTAAGTGGTTACTGGAACCCATAGACAACGCTACAATGTAAATGCGCCACCCACCTTGAGATATAAGTTCTAAGTTCTCAAATATAGTTATAACGGCTGCCCCACCCTTCAAACCGAAACGCACCCCCGCGGACTCACCAGTAATTACGCAAATTATAATTTTGCAGCTTTGATTTTTATTACACCATGTTATTCCTTCACTGTGGAAGTCAATCGTGAGCATTTGGTGAGTACGTATTTCATTAGAAAAATTTGTACCCGCCTGGGATTGGAACACCGGTGCATCGATCAACACGAATGCACCGGACGTCTTATCCTTTAGGCCACGACGACCAATCCGGTTTTCCGACGACCTGTCGATCTGGCGTCCTAGGGATGGCACTGCTAGTCTGGTTGTAGTTATGATCGCTGGAATCCCCGGCTTTGTCCGCGTTCTGACCTCGGACGGAGATCGAACGTCGGGTGAGAGAGGTGCAGGACCAGTCGTTTGGTGGTTAGGGCCCTAAAAATATCCTTGGGTCCGCAGTCTACTCCCAAAATCCGCAAACCGTCAATTCTCATATACCCCGCGTGTCTCTGTGGACCTCGTCTGAGGTTCGACCCGAAAAAAATGTATAATCCTAAACCTTATATGTTTTATTTTTATTTTTATTTATAATGTTATAATTTTTTTTTATTTATAATTTAATATATGTTAGAAGCTGTTTACTGATTTTGTGAGCCCGCTCGGTTAGATAACACTACCCCGCCTAATTCTGTCATGAAGCCGTAATGCTGTTCGGTTTGAAGGGTTGGACTTGAACTCGGCTCTCAAGGTGGGTGGCGGCATTTACGCTGTTGATGTCTATGGTCTCCGGTAACCAGTTAACACCTGGTGGAACGTGAGCTCGTCCACCGATCTAAGCAATAAAAAAGTTATTTAGTAGGTATATGTTACTATAGCATCACCATTAGTCAAATAGATTTTGAGGACGAAATATAAGGAATAATAGTGTCTAAGATCGAAAAAAAACGTGGTTTAAAGAGCTTCCGAAAATTCATTGAGGTCCAATTCAAAAAAAATATTATTTATTATTAGGATATAACTACCGAAATACCCACATCAAAGAAAAACTATAAGGCAAGTATGCATACCAAGTTTTTAAAACATTCTATACTAAAATTCTATTCTATCTAAAATTAGATACTACAATCATAAGACCACAGCGGGCAAAAGAAGACAAACATTTATAACCTATAAAAAGAACAAAAGATAAATATAAATAATAAATAAATAATATGATAACAAATCACGCACGATCTTCCAGTCCCAAATTAGGATTCTCTGTGCTATCCGAGTATCAGAGAATGACATACATACATACTTGAATACGTTTAAACGACTTTAAATAGATAATAAACACCCAGACAACGGCAAACAAACCTGTACATTACATAAATGCTTGTCCGATGTGAGAATCGAACCCACGACCCTCGGCGCAATTTTATTATTTTATTATTTGATGTATTACTGGTGGCCCGGAGGTCTTTCCAGTTTTACCAGGATAGATGAGCGAGCAAAGGCTCAGCCAGGAGGGGTGGGATTTGCTACCAGATGCCCGAGCGCCTCCGAAGGAGACCTAACAACTCAAGAGTTTTGCGAATGAATCTACTACCAGATCGGAATCGCGACCCGCTGAAAAGATCCGGCGAGAAACTCAGCGGGCTGATATGTAGGTTAGGTTATTCTTCGAACTCTACCCAGCTCGACGGCGCAATGGTCAGGCCCTCTAACTATTGCAACACCGAATCAGTCAGTTAGAAATTAAACAACTAATTATCTTAATACAGAATCGCGAACTGAATGTTTGTTACAATAACTTTCTATCAAATTGTTCCCGTAATCATCTAATAACTAACATCCATGACTATTTTGTAATACGACAAACACAATAAATACCGGATAGGTTCTTAAGAAATACTTTTTTGTTTTTCTTTGATCGCAGGAAACAGTTGCCGGCTTTTATTTTCATCCCGTCCACCGCTGTCGCGTCGTTTTCAATTTTCAAGGTGACTTACCTGGAATTAAGAAATAAATTTTTAGAAGCCATTTTGAAAGTAAATTGGCGCGGTTTACGCGCTCTCCCATTGGTCAAGGACTGCTGTCACCTGTGATCATGACCCCCACCAATAACTTTTAATTTTAAACTATAAATAAAGCGCTCAGTGTTTTTACGAGTCATTATGCAACGTGGTTCCATTCGCGCGGTTTCGCGTAATTGCTTCTAACAGTGAACAGACACGAATGTTAAGTTTTGTTTTCTGTCAATATCTAAGTTTCTATAACTAACTGATAACGAGTACCCCATAGAGATGTTTATTAGGAAAATTCAGCGTCAAGTGTGAATTGGCTACATTTTCCTAGGAATCACTATTTTAATGAAACTAAAAGAGTGGTTTCCTAATTATTGTCGACTGTTAGATCGCGTGTTGAACGTCAAAACTTCGCTTTTTTTCTTTTCGAACCAGGAAGAGGAAGCTTCCCACCGATTCGGGTCACGCTACACGACGGAATTAGCGAAATTCTTCGAACATTTTTACGTCACTCGAAGAGAGATATATTAGTTATAGTTCGGATGTGATTTATTCTGGTCCTATAACGCTTTACGACTGTATCGCTTTTTGAAACATTGTAATCAAGTTAACGATGTGCATGTATGAAGTTAAATATAGGGACGCATATAGATCGAATGGATTCTTTATTGATATAGTGAGTGTAATGTATTTAAATTAGTGCTAAGATGCGTTTGAGCCGCACAAAGTTAATAAGAGAACCTCAAAATTTCCAAATAAATTAGTTAAGTTTAGAAAACAGCTATGCGGGCACTAGCCCTTTGTTCATTGCCAAAAAACAACTCATGGCATTCTTAAAATAATCATCGATGTAATAAAAATAAAATAAAAAGACAGTTGCGATCTGGCAGAATTTACAGTCTCAATAAATTTTCATAAAATGATTTTATAATTGAGTCGTCTATTATCAAAGGTGGCTATCTGTGCATTTGGACAAAAAATTTTTATTGATATGTCAATACAGATTGATTTGAATATAATCGTCTCCTTC